TAACCACAGAACAGAAAACTTAGTTTAACTTAGTGGACAGACCCTATTTTAGTTTTTTTCTCTGTATAAATCTATATGTATTAAAACTAAACATTTTTTTTTATGTGTATAAATGAAAGTTATTGGGAATTTGGTCTTGTTGCCTGAGTAATGAGGCTGTTGCACTTGGTGATGTCGTGATTCGTGTGTTTTAGTGCTTCTCTGTTTTGGGGTTTATTTTCATGTCATTCTGTGTTTCTCTGTGCCACAAGTTCATTTTTCCCAGTACTTTTCCATAGACAGTCTATGCTCCTCCCACTTACACCTGTTCCCCATTCCTGTTAGTCTCAGCTGCAGACACTTACCTCATCAGTCCCAACCTTTTAACTGCGTATCATGTATTTTGTGTCTCCTCGAGTTTCTCATTCGCAGTTTTCGCTGCCATGTCAGCCGCTTGTTTTTGTCAAATAAATCTTTAATTAATTTATTTATATTTTACTCAAACTCCTCGTGTCACATCTGCATTCGTGGCTCGTACCTCCACTTGTGACAGCTGAACTTGAGTCGTATCTCATTAGGTCCAGGTAGTAGGGGTGGGAAACTGCAGTGTAGAGCAAAATATTTTGCTCTACACTGCAGAATGAAGCAGTTCTCACTCAAACAAGATAATGCTGATTGTGCAGAATGCTGAGCAGAGTAATGAGTATATATCGCAATGGATGTCGATGCATCACGTTAGAACTTTCTTCAGTGATTCCACCATTTTTGTTTTCGCTACCTGAGAATGAGAATAGCTGCGCTTGTGTGTTTTACATAGGATGATTGAATTCTACTGGTTCCAAAGGTGCAACATAACGTGCAGCCACATGTTGCATGCCAAGTTTTAGAAAATGGGACCTATTTGTGTGGTCACAGCTTGGAAAAATATATTCCAAGCTGTCCACAATATTTTGTTGCCCATCATACGCTTCAAATGTTTTGATACATATTAGAGACTCCCTCACGAATGTCCTCGCCAACTAGACGCCAACAGTCATGGCTAAGTGAGATCCTTTTGCAGTGGCAGCAACTAGCAGCCACTTTTCTCCTTCAGGCGAAGTGTGAACTTCTCTTGCATATGACCCAGTGCTGTGGACTCGAGTCGTTAATGTTATGACTTTAGACTTGAAAAAATGTTCAGCGACTTATGACTTGGACTTTGACCTGTTTACTTGAAAACACTTGATATTTTACCCATAATCTTAAGTTTAAAAACTGCGGTGAAGTGAGTTCTAGGTTGGATATTCGAGCTCCATGGATTCAGTCGTCTCTTCATCTCGTTCGATCCGATGCAGGCAGCCTGATTTCAGTCAGCTGTGCTCAGTCTGCCCCCTCCTCCGAGGTGCAAAGGTTCGCTTAGGAACCGTCAATAAATTACCAAACCAAACATTCTTGAGGAAAAAAATTAATAGCTTTCATGTCTCGTGACCCACTGACACAGAACAGTCCAGCACTGCAGCTCAGTCACCACCTGGACATTGTTGATGAACAGAACACCTTATTGTTCTGGTCAATGAACTTCACTGTTTCATGAGGCCACCAGAGTTGTGGCAGTGCCTGCACGTAGAGCTCGAGTTTTCAGCCATGGTGACATCATTCTACGACCTCATCGTGCACAAATGACTGAGACTTTTGGCCAGTTTGGTCTTTTTCAAATGCAGAATAGCCGAAATAACTTAAACTGTCATTGTTCAGTTCATTCGTTTGTTTTGTTTCTCTGTCACACATGGACACATAAAAACACGTGTTCACTGAGTGACCAGATGAGAGAGGAGATGAAATGAATTTACTGTGATGCTTCTTTGTAATGTACTGTGGAAATATCAGCACTTTTTGTCCGAACATGGAGTTCTGCTTTTTTTTTATTTTTCACTGAATGTTTATTCTAGAAAATTATAGTTTGAAGGAAGATTATTCTTGCAGCTAAGTTTATTTGAACTGTGCAATCTTAGAATGACTTTAACACTTTGTAAGTTCAGTTGCACATGTTTGAGCATGATTTGAGATAAATACAGATTAAACACACGGTCTATTATTTACATTTAACATGTAATTGCAACTTTGTTAAAAAAAAAGACTCGAAAGGACTTGAAATGTCAAGTTTTGGACTTGACTCGACGCTTACCTTGTCTTGACTTGAGACTTGAGGATAAAGACTTGATACTTGCAAAACAATGACTTGGTCCCACCTCTGCTATGACTCTTGGAAATATACATTTCCCTTTACCTTTGTAGAAGCAGAAATACTTCTGATCAAAACAGAAGGTACATTAAATTATATTCAAATCTTCATCCATAAATCACTTCAGAATAATCAATGTCCACAATGCATCAAAAACTAGATCACAACACTCACCATTACCAGGTATGGTGGACTTGCTACATTCAGCAGATTTGTGTTGGTCTGTGATGTCATCAGCCTGCGTCCACTGTCTGTTTTTTTTAAAGCTCTAACTGAGACAGTGAATGACCAGAGTTCCTAACATTTCCTTACCTCCTCCAACATTTATTTACTAACCCTTATTTAACCAGGAAAATCCCATTGAGATCACAGATCTTTTTTGCAACATCATCTCATCGGTGAGCTCCGCGACGTGCAGCCGACCCAGGACTCTGAAGTTATGCAGCGGAGCGCTCGGTTTTTATTTCTGACAGCACAGAAACATGTTCGCATGTGTTGCTGTGTCATAACTGTTTTCATGAAAACAACAAATTTCTGTCAAAACAAAAAAAAAAGACACTTACTTGAATTAGTCCTGAATTTTGTTATTGCAGCCATATATTTTGTTTTACTATTTAAAGAATGATGCACAAAAACAATAGTATGGTAAGTTTGTATGGGTTAGCTTCAAACTGTCTTTGAAGTAGTAGCTCGTGGTAGTACCGTACTTGCCGCCGTACAAGTCACATCAGTCCTAATATGTCTAATAAAGTGGAGAAAAAGAAAACAAATACATCGCTTTGCTATACAAGTTGCAGGCATGGTCATTTATGCAAAAAACTGCAACTTATACAGCAAAAATTACGGTAGCTCTTTAGCCTCATCTGCTGTGTCACAGCTTCATGTCCTGGTCGGCTGGCTGTACCTGTATACGGTGAAGTCCGTAATCTTCCATAGATCATTGAAGAATGCACATAATTTACAACTACTGGACTCTCAGTTGTAGCTCAGCGTATTTAGACAAAAACTTTTATCTGGAACAGGAGTAGCCATGGGTTTTTAACGTGAGGATGTGAAGCTCCTGTCTCCATGACTTGCAGATTTAAAATTTTACAAAAGACAAACTGTTTTATTCACAAGTATTCAAGGATTCATTCAAGGATTCAAGGTTCTTTATTTGTCATTCGCACCCCATGTGGTACATGTGGTGGAACAAAATTGTGTGCACAGTTACATCCAACAATAAAATGTAAAAGAAAATTAAGATCTACGATATGAACTAAGAACAACATCAGCTAAATATACACTAAGCACTGATAGCATAAACATGACGTCGAGCACTAACATGAGTCTGTGTGAGCAGATGAGCACGAATGAACACAGCAACATGAAATAGATCAGCAGCAACATGAAACAGATCAGCAGCAACATGATGTGATTTTTCACAGTGATGATTCTGGTTAGAGATTCATGAGTCTAACAGCCTCATGGTAGAAGCTGTTCCTCAGTTTAGTGAATCTACACTTAATGCTCCTTAACCTCCTTCCTGAGGGGAGTGGGGCAAAAAGTGTGTGTGCTGGGTGAGTGGGGTCCTTCATGACGCAGTTGGCTCTCTTCCTGTATCTAGAGGTGTAGATGTCTGTGATGGTGGGGAGGCTGACTCCAACAGACTGGTATTTACCGGTACTGGTAGTTTAAACTATAAAATCAGCGGTTAGGGCTGATTAACATGAGATGAGTTGTGTTTTCCTTGGCCTTTTTTGAAATCCTGTTTAACGCATAAACGTGTGGATCTGTCGTAGTCAATAAGCAAAAGAGATCAGTGGTTAATAAATGTTGTGTTGTGAGTGTCACTGCTATTTTACTGAACAACTCATTTATCTTAGTTAAAACCAGTGGTGTAGTCTATGTATTATATGTATATGTATATACACAGGTATATGGAGTATACCCACTAAAAAAGTCTGGGAATTTCGGTATACCCACTTAAAGTGCCCAGTGACACAAACCCATGTCATGTATCGTTGGCAGTGATTGGAACATTTTATAGACACACTGAGTTGGTTCAACCTGTTTTTTGTATAATTAATACTTCTGTACTTACTACTTAATACTTGAACATGCTTTGCTTTGATACAGTTTTATAAATTCTATAACATGTTTTTAATACAAAGCCAACAGTTGTACAAAGTTTGTTGTTCATTTATTCAAATAAAAGCATCAGAGAAATTTTAAATTGTTCAATGTGCTTAAAAATCAAATAAATTAACAATTACATTGTACTAACCAGTGTACTTTGGTTTCTAAGCACAGTATACCTACTACAAAAATGTAGGCTACACCACTGGTTAGAACATACTTTTTTTTTTGTCAGGTCGGTTTTATCCCGAGGTTTTTGCAGTTTTGTCCACACGATGTGCAGTGTTACATGAGTCATTGAATATGGTGTTTTCTCCTGTAGCTTGTCAGACAGGTTGTTTTACACACAGGTCATGCTAATCAAGTGTTATCTGTTCCCTGCAGAACGTGAATCATGTTGTCCTGGCACAGCTTCTCCCTCCTCCTCCTCTTCCTGCCCTTCATCCAAGCAGCTGAACCCTCTTTATCATCTGCCAATACCACGGATGAGCTTCAGATTATCACCGTTGCAGCCATCTTGCCTCTGACCAACACGGATTATGCGTGGGCATGGCCTCGAGTCGGGCCGGCACTGGAAATGGCCATCCGGCGGGTGAACTCTGACCCTTGGCTGCTACCAGGTTTGCAGCTCCATCTGGTCCACAACAACTCGGAGAACCGTGAGGGATACTGCTCGGATTCTATGGCGCCACTGGTCGCCGTTGACCTAAAGATGTCCTACGACCCCTGGGCCTTCATTGGACCTGGATGTGACTACTCTTCCTCACCAGTTGCTCGTTTCACTAGTCACTGGGATGTGCCTATGGTGACCGCTGGGGCCCGTGCTATAGGCTTCAAATTCTATAAAGCTGTCACAAACACAGGCCCCACACATGTGAAGCTGGGAGAGTTCAGCATGAAGATGCAGGAGACGTTTGGTTGGCAGCGGCAAGTCATGCTCATCTACACCGACAACAAGGATGCCAATGACGACAGACAATGCTACTTTGCTGTGGAAGGGGTCTACGAACTGCTGGGAAAACATAATATTTCCACGTATGATTACTTATTGGAGAGCGAGCCAAACTACAAGTTGGTGGTCCAAAAGATCCGGGAGAACGGACGAGGTGAGCAGCTCTAATTTCCAGGGTTTTTTGTTTCGCCTTGTACTCTTCTAGTGTTGTAGTACTCGAGACCGGTCTTGGTCTCAAGACCACTCTTTGATGGTCTTGTCTTGGACTCGACTGCATTTGGTCTCGGTCTTGTCTCGGTCTCGGACATTGAGGACTAGGGATTTTATTTCAAGACCAGTCAAGACCACAACTGTAGAAATATCACTAAATTGCCAGAACATTGTCCAGTTTATTTGTTAACATCTTTGCTTTCATTGGATGCAAAACATACTGGTTCAAATCTAGTCAATAACGTGACTCATTGCTAAATACATGTTTTTGTTATCGCTTTCACTCCCAGTGTTGCCAGGTTGGGCAGCTAACTACCAATTGGACGATTTTCATTCTGATTTTACTGGAAACTGGGAAGGTTTTTCTTGGATTGTTACGTTTTGCCACATATTGTTAAATTACCTTGGCTTGTACTGATGTGTGTTCATGTTCAAACAGTAAATATACTGTAACAATGTATTGATTGGGCAGATTTTTGTGTGATATGGTGGTTTTCAACTGATTGTTAGGCTGGAAAACCTCCACTCTATCTGGCAACACTGGTCACTCCAAGAAAACGAGAAGTGATTGTCTGGGCGGGAGAGAAGGTGTCTGTCATATCATCAGTTTTAAAATTTGGCTATTTAAATCACAAAGAATATACCGTACTTGTAAACTAAACTAATATCTATTTATGTAACTTTTTAGGTGTGTATCTACTACTTTATTGAAACCACTGTGCAACTTTATGGTTATCCTTGGTCTTGAGTTTCTATTTATTAAGAGTGTTTTGTCACTGCAGTTTTTTAAGACTTGGCATGTGATGAAACTGTTTCCAATTTAACGGTTGTGTAATTTTATTGTTCAATCACGAGCAGTTAGGCCACTGAATGTCTGATTTCTTTATGTAACTTTGAAAATTTATAAAAGCTGATGTATTCATTCAAAAGCAGACAAAGTTGCAGTATTTAACTTTTGTAAAAAAAAAATTATAATAAAATTTTATATTTTATTTATTTTATTTGAGGTCTTGGTCTCGGACCCTAAAAGTCTTGGTCTTGTCTCGGTACACTCTGGTCTTGGTCTTGACTTGGTCTCGGGTTAGGTGGTCTTGACTACAATGCTTTACTCCCTTCTTCCTTCCTTCCTCCGGTGATCATTAGAGGAAGTTGAGCTCTGACCCATCACTTGCTTTCACCGTTGTCTCTGAACTCTTATATTCCTTTAATGCAGTAATCTTTAACGAATCGTGATTAATCGTCATGGTGATGTGTCCACTTGCTTCACTACTGATTTAGCTAACCTTCTTTTGTTCGATTTTTGTGCCCAATTTTTTTCCTTCTTTGTGAGATGCTTTCACCTTTGTCCACTATTTGCTTCCTTTTTTCCAAAAGTATCAGACATTCAGTGATTTGAACCTTTATTTTGTAACTTTCCTCCTTTACTTCTCTCCCGTGGGACCAATCATCCGCTGGATTTGCGTGAACTATTGAGGTCCAACACTCCAGCTCCTTTCACTTCATTGTTTTAATTCACCTTCACTCCTTTGTCCTCCTTCTTCTTTCCTCATCCTCCCTTCTGTCATTCCCTCCCTGCCTTAATGTCATTAAATAATAGCAGTTAATTATTATTTGACTTTTCTCCGTACCGGTTAATGACTGACCTCAGCTCTGTTTTTGTGTCTGTGTGCGTGTTTGTGTGCTTTTTGTTTTATGAGCACCAATTTCAGTTTAGGGCCTCAGGAGTGACGACATTCCTGCATTATAAGGACATTCCTACGTTGTGAGGACATTTTGGTTGGACCTCTGAGCGCACACCTGTAAATAATCAGAACATGGGGAAGAAATAAATGTGCCATTTTTAATCCTCCTCTGTTTACCTTCACGTTAGTTTAATTTGAAACACATCGTCATGAAGTTCATTGCACATGTTATGGTTTCATGTATTATTATTATTATTATTCACCCATAAAATTTACTCAGACAAGAACGAAAATCTGAGACAAACCATTTTTAAATTTAAATAAAGCCTTGCTGAACTAGATGGTAATCATTATATTGCCATTATTATGAAGGGAATTGACATATTTACTCTGATTTATTATATTGTCAGAATGTAATTCTTCAGTTTAGAGAAAATATTTTATTTTACGTCACTAAATTTGTCTTATAGCTTTGCTTCCTTTATTTTTATAGCTGAAAACTTTATACGCAGACACATCAGATAGTGTTTGTCTCATCGGCTAATTTTATTTTGCACCTGTGCAGTTTTCTGACCTTTCTGTGGAAAAGTTTTAAACAGTTAATAATTGTGTGGTTATAGACGGCTCTTGGAAGTACCTCAGTTTTGCATTATGCAGCTCTTCTGGCAGAAATATTGAGATATTCCTGCTGGTGTACTCCAGGTTGTACCAGAAGTGCTACAACTAGCTACCGCTGCTACGATTTGTGCTCACAAATAATCATGTACCGTGTTTTTCGCCATATAAGTCACAAATTTTTGCATAAATTTGCAAGTCCTGCGACTTACACATCAAAGTGACTAATATACGTTTTCCCCCATATTTATAACCCAATTTTTGGCTGAGATCTGACGATTTCATTCATTCTATCATGGAAAATATTGAACACTACCATTTTCAGCCACTAGAGGGCCCTCGACTAATATGGCAAGCCAAGTGTCTCATTAATAGGGAAAAGTGGCTATTAATGAGACACTTGGCTTGCCATACAAAGACACCTTGTCCCGTTCCGGAACTCATGGAGCAAACGTCAAATCAGCCACATTTCGCTGCGCCGCCCAGGCGAAATACAGCTGATTTGACCATCAAAGTGCATTTATTAAAGAAAATTTCAACTGAGATTCACCTTTACTATAATGTCGAGCAAACAAACAATTGTTTTTAGGTGGTGATGTTGTTAAATCCTGAAGAAATGCAGAGTGAGTCCTCCCTCTGCACGCTCCCACAGCTGCAAATCAATTTGTGTAATGCAGCTGATTTGACCGTCAATGTCCATTTATTAAGGAAAAGTTAAAATTAGACACACCTTTACTCTAATGTCAAGCAAACAAATAATTGTTTTTAAGTGTTAATCTTTTTAAATACTTATTAAAGTCCTCCCGCTCACGCTCCGTCGGCCGCCATTAGGCAACCAATCAATTTTTGGCACAACACTGGCCCGTGTTTCCAAGTGGTCAACATCGATGCACAACAGTTGCGACTTATATGGCGAAGCAACTTATTTATGTTCTTTCCACTTTGTTAGACATATTTGAACTGATGTGACGTGTATGGTGGAAAGTATGGTAATTCCATATGAATTAATAATAATAATAATATGATATAATAATAATAATAATTCCATATTTTTAACTGAGGTTGTATAGAATTATGGGTGTGATGGTTTTGATGAAAATTAAAGTAACTGGAGTGGAAAAAGTTTGTTACTGCAGTTGTCATTTCAATTCATTTCAGTTTATTTGTATAGCGCCAAGTCACATCACAACTTATCTCAGGGCACTGAACAGAAACATTCATGTATATTTTTTGGGAGCCGAGATGGTGTAGGGGCAGGGCAGCCGACTTGGGACCCGAAGGGTTCGATCCCCGATCATTGTACATCTCGTGGTGTCTCTGAGTAGGACACCCTACCCTCAGTTGCTCCCCGGGCACCTTCCATAGCTGCCCACTGCCCCACCTGGTGGTGGATGGGTTAAAAGCAGAGAGCCAATTTTGCCATTGTATGAGACCATACAATGATGACAATACACAACACATAAAAAAACAAGTTAACATTATTTATCCGAGTTGTCACAACTTTTAATGTGCAGCCATGTTGAATTTTGAGTCCGGGGTTGGTTAGACACCTTTGTTTGTCATATCAATCAACCTTTATTTATACAGGTAAATCCCATTGAGCCTCGAGGACTCATTTACAAGAGAGACCTGATTTCAACAAAGAAAGATGACAACAATGGACAACAGCAACAACAATAAGCAGTTATAAAAACTCATACTACAGTTTTTTTTTTTTTTTTTTTTTTTTTTAACAAATAGGATGGCTAAAAGGAAAAAGGTAACAAAACCAAAAAAACTGCTAGATTCCGAGACAAATGTATAAAACTAAAAACAGGAACATGTCTGCATTGGTCCCTGCCAGGAGTCCAACAGATTCTTAAAGCCACTTAGAGAGGTCAAGGTCGAGAGCTTCAAATCTTTTTGTAAGATATTCCAGGAAACAGGAGCGGAGTAGGAGAAGGCCCTTTTGCCTAGTTCAGTCCTCACTGAGGGAACACTGCAGGTAATAATGTCCTGAGAGCGCATATCCCGACTTTAGGGGCATTTCAGTAGGTTTTAATGGAACTGCTATACTTCTCCAAACTGGGGTTGGTCAAAGAGTAGTGTCTCACTGGGCTGCAACATTTAGAGACTAGTTGGGGACTCCAAATTGAAATAAATTGTGAGAGGCACATGTTTTCTTGCCGTCTCACTGAATTCTGAATATTTATGATCAGCGAGTCATACATCTGTGTTTTGAGTAGCTAATTGTTTTTAATGATGGCTGAATTTGTGTGTTTTTGTGCTTTCCAATCTTTATTCTAGACTGTGCACAGGCTTTCCACCCTCATTATATCCACTTTGTACCCAACTT